TACTGTGACATCTCAAATTTACTTAAAGGTGATCACAAGCCATTATTTTAACAACTGCCATCTGCAAGAGGTTAGATGGCTTCTGTCTGAAATGCTAATAACTGCCTGGAGTCTTGTCTGCTTTTGCCTTTCTTCCTCCTTCCATTTGAATAACTCAGAGGAAGTAAAAACTGGGAATTTTAACAGAAAAGTCTGCACTCTAAGTACAATCTCTGCCATCCATCTTGTGCTCTTACATCAGGCATGGGGTTACTGCTGGAAACAGGTAGCCTATTCCTTCCTAAAGTTTTTGTTTCTCTTTACTACACTGCTACTAACAGTATTGTTATTGGTAGTAGTAGTAATAATATTGCAATGTGTTGTAGGGCATTCATTGAGCTTAATGTTCCCTAAACACTCAACAAGAAATAGCCGTTCCCATGAAGATCTGTAATAATATTGCAATGTGTTGTAGGGCATCCATTGAGCTTAATGTTCTCTAAACACTCAACAAGAAATAGCTGTTCCCATGAAGATCGTATGGTCTTCATGGTCTGGACTTAGAAAGAGCAGGAAATATCTCTTACATCCACTGTGAATCCAGCCTTCTAAAAAACACATACACTTTATAATACAAAAAGCATAATTACACTCTAATTACAGTGTAGTTACATTTTTAACCTAAGATTTCCACTAATCTATATAATAAGGTACTTCATGGACTGTCCAAAAATAATTACAGTGTAAAATAACATAATTAATATACCTGCATTTAAAAATATAGTCAGATCCTCAGCTGAGTTAAATCATTATCTCTCTGATTATATCAGTCTGGTTCCTGTGCATTAAAAAGCAAATCATGGGAGCAATAATGTCTCAGTTATGTAGTTAACCTTCTGGTTATATTAATTAGTGATGATTAGGCATAGGAAACCATAATTATGTCATGTACATAACATCCCTTCGAAATTGCGTCATGAATCCAAACACAAAAGGCAGATGTGAACATCTAACTGGGTCCTTATCGGACATCTAGAACAAATCTGAAACTCGATGATTTGACCCTCTATCTCCTATCCGAAACACATCCAGTGGTGATGCTGGTGTCACACTTGCAAAAGAAACTGCAGTTTGTATTTGTCCCAGAAGGCAAATGCAATGTCCTGTATTCTGATTTCACGTGGTGGTTACTAAAATCCAACTTAAAAAAAAAGAGACAAACAAAACATCTAGGTTCAGTTCGGTTCCTAAAGGAGGAAGCCCTGAAACCAAAGAAGGACCTTCTCTAACTCGCCACATTTAGCCATTTGTCTGGGGTATGAACAGCTAAAAACCAGCACCTCTTACTCCTGTTTGCAGGAGATCCTGGCAACCAGAGCGTTATTTGCACAGGATCTTTCTGAAGAGTTGCTCTTCAGTGACTCCAAAAACACAGTGGTAAACGCTGTACTGGGGAAACTGGTTTTCCTGAGGCAGCTGTCTGAGAAGATCGCGGTATTGAGAAGAGGGACTCAGAGCAAGCAGTATTTTCCATCACTGTCCCCCTGCCTAGCTTGAGACTGAAGTTTCTCACCTTCAAGGATAAAGAAGAGAAAAGCCAGTCTGAGCTAACAGTCTTCCCCCAGTATACCAGAGACATGCTTTATCCCAGCAGATCATTCCCTCACAGCAGGACTACAGTAAATAATCAATGTGTAGGTCATTCAGTCCAAATTTAGAAAAATATTAAACATTTCACTTTTATATAGGCTTCTATCACCTACTGAAAACCACAGAAGCTCTGCACTGGAATAGGAATTATGGACCTAAACTTTTGTACAAGACCTGGGTTATTCCTGTCATGCAGATGGCAGCACCCTGCCATCTTGGCAGGAAAAAAGGACAAGTGCAGAACATCACAGAATTTCCATTAAAATTAATCCTTTGAAAAGTGAATGTCAGAAGAAGCTATATTTTTGACCTAACAAATATACTTTTAAATGGTTATTTTGCAAATGTCGGGTTGAAACGTTCCAAAGTTAGGAGCTGCCAGAATTAAGGTTGCCTGTGTGTTCTGCATAGCACTCCACTTGCAAGCGCTTTGTGGCTGTTATTGCCTGTTTTTTGCTTTTATTTTTTAAATCTCAGTAACTGGACTCTGAAAGGCTAACTTGTAAATCTGCCTTTTGTAATTCTGGGAAATTCCACTTTGCACACTTTCTCATTTATAATCACAGAATTATTATTTGATGTATTGTTTGCTTTTTGCGGTGCTAGCGGCAAGGGACACGGGTACAACACGGGCCACAGTTACGTATTGCCCCACAGAATTAACAGCCTTGGGGTCTTCAATGGATCTACTCTATGGTGTCAGGTCACTCGATAGAAAACCCTACCCTGTGAAGACCCCAGGTCTGTGATGCCCTGGGCATATCATCGACAGAGCAAGGTGTCATTAGCTGGGTCATTTAAGGGACTAAAGGCACATGGCACTTTGCAGGGTGTAACCCAGTATGACCTTGGTAAGACATGCTTCCTGCCTTTTAGCTCACCAAACCTTAAAACCGTTGCCTAATATTTACCAGCAGCAGTTCCCAGGCACTGCAGGCTGTTCTCTAACGATATTTCCAATTCAGTCTGAGATTTCTGAATGAAATTTCTGTAGAAGGGTTACTTAAATGTTTTCTTTTTCAACCTGAAGTTCATTCAATATACTGTCATAGAAGCAATTCTTGCAAGTATCTCACTTCAGGAGAGGTGTTTTTTTTCTTTTCTTTTGCTCTTGGCAGTGGCTGTGACAAGAATGACAGCGCAAAACACAACAGAAAGTTATAAACATTACTTTTCCTTAGACAGCACACAAAATCCCGGACTACCACCATCCTAGATGGGAAACTGAGCCACTCTGCTTTCAGAAACCCCCACCCTTGCCTCATCCTGGGGTTGCAGGGTGTTGTACATTGAGTGCAATGCTATTGCCGTTTCAGTTGATGCTCCTGGCCTGTATGGATGCTGATGCTTTTGGGGTCAGCCCGAAGATGAGCTTCATCTACAGGCATTGTTTGGGGCTCCTGGGGAGTGACAAATTTGGGACCTCTCAAGCAAAGATGGGTCTCCCTTCTCTACAGCTGTCTAAAAAGGAACACTAGCAGAGGAATAAACAATTGAGGAAAGGTGTTTTTCATCACTTCAGTGTTTTCTTGCCTTTACTTCAACTTGCTACACAAGCAAGGCAGTGCCATTTGGCCCCACTCTTTGATACGCACCTCGTGACACCCAACAAAAAGGTTGCCGTAATCTAACAACAAGCATGAATCTCCCCTTCCCCGCTGTCATCCTTTTCTCCATCCTGCCATGCAGATCTCTTTTTCCTAAGCCCACACCCCTCGCTCAGGTTGGCATCCATCCCTGCCACGACCTGGCACGTTCTCTGCTCCTCCTGCTGGCCTCTTAACCCTCTCAGCACTTTCTTTCCAGCAAACCCTCTCACACTGCGGAGCTGTGCGCAGCAGCTGAAGAGTTGGCACAGGTCAGACCATGTCAGGGGCCACTGTCGCAATTTAACAGTGCAGATGATTGAATTAGAGGCTTTGGCACGGCTTTGTTTATCGGTATTAATGAGGCTGAACCAATCACGCAATTCCTTGGGGTCTTTTGCCTCACTCTTCCCTTTCCCTTCTGGAATCTCGACCATCCACTCTATCCCACTCCTTCCCTCCTTGGCCAGCTGCTCCAGAGGTGCTGGGTGCAGGACTGGTGAGGCCATGGCTTGGTCCCTTTGGTTAGTGACACGGATGCATTATCAGGAAACAGACAAAATAGGAGGCAGGGGGTCGGAGGATGCATACACCTACAGGACTTTTCTTGAGGGGAAGAGCAAGAAAATGTAGGGTTTGGGGGGGTTGATGTTTTTAAGAAAAATAGAAGACCCTTCTGCAGACCTTGACTCTAGCTTGTGGCTTTGCATATTTAGTTATCTCTCACCGCAGCAGAGGACTGGGATTGAGTACTACAAGCATGAATGGAATTTAAGAAATTAACTGTAAAAATGCAGAGTTCTATCTGCAGGTAAGATTTCCTGCTATCAAAAAAGCCAGCATGAAGGTTTTTGGGTCCGGGCTGCCACTGCTGAGATTTTGCATTGAGAGTCATGGCTGGGGTTCACACTTACGATACAGTGGAACTCTGACAAAAACTTGGATGTGATTGCACCAAACAACGCTGCCTCAGCAAGCCGTTTTTTGGGCACGTTTCCCTCTCCCTTTCCAACGTACCTTCCCAGCAAGCTCATTAACCACACAGACGCACTAAAAGTGCTTGGAACAGAAATGAGAACAAAAGGAACGAAAACAATTCTTCTGCTAAAAGAGCTGGGTTTTATGTTTGTTCTTCGTCTGCACCTTCCCCCTGCCCGGGTGCGACACAAAGGAAATCACTGCAGCTGATTCGGGACTTCACAAACTGAGGGATTATGCGCTACAGATACTGACAGGCCCCTTTGCTTACAGCCTGGCAAACACCACAACAGTAATCTCCTCTCTGAGATAAAGCCCATCAATCTTACTCTTACACCAACCTGTTCCCCTCTGCCCCTCAGACAGAGCTGAAAGAGCTGCCCCCCTCGGGAAGGATGCTAAAATCTGTCCTTCCTCGGCTCTCTCCTATTTTAACTTACTCCTTCGGCTGGCATCCCATCAAAGTCAGGTCAACACATACCCATTTTCTGTGCTGAGCTGACTGGTTTTCAGTAACAATTTCTCCTTCGTTTAGTAACTGAGATCAATAAAACTGCCCCTCTCTCGTATTGGCAGAGATTCCAGCAGCGTCATTTGCTCTTTATTGTTGTTACTGCTTTGGTTTTTTTCCTTTTTTCTTTTTTCTTTTTTTTTTTTTTTTTTTGACAAGGCACAGATCAATTTAACAAGATGAAAACGACTTAGACTTTCACTCAAGGTAAAATCTGCACTTTATAACCCAGGATGTAATTTACAATCCTGTCATTAAGCTCTGTTAATCCTATTATTATGAAGATAAATAATTACCCATAGCGAAGAAAGGGATTCCCAACAGAGTAGAATTATATTTTCCATCAGTAATGAAAAATATCCCTGCCGCAGTGACACTGGAAATACAGATAGTGAGTACTCCCAAGAGTCCCAGGAAAGGTTTGCTACGCAGGCAGTCCTTCATGGAGCTCGAGAGGGTAGCAGTCAGGAGAATCAGCATCAGGCTCACCAAAATCTTGCCCCTGGCCAAGAGACTGGTCTGGTGGAAGTCCTTCCAGAGGCTAAAGGACGCTAGTGAGTAGAGCTGCAGATCTTGGTGATCCAGCTGCATCTTGTGCATCAGTTTACAGAATTCACTCTCCCACTTCTCCCCAATGAGGTCCTGGGTGACAGAGCCATACGTTTGGAGGTAGTAAGTGATTTGGATGGCTCTGGCTGATTTGACTCTCTGGTCCTTGCTGTTTGGTACTTCCATGACCCCTCCGAGCTGGTGGCCAATAAAACTGCTCCTTCCATCCTGGGAGGGAAAGTAAAAAAGATGAGCATGTGGTTATCCTGCAGAAGATGTGATACAGTGATACCGTTTGACTCTACCTTCCTTTCACAGACATGCCAAGAGCTCGGCTCGAAGGCCACTGCAGTCAACGGCAGTCGTGCCGTTCACTTCAGTGGGCTTTGGGACGCATCCCTATTCCCTGCCACAACTCTGTTCCTTACTCATTATGGGCTCATTCGCAATTCTGTGCTGCAGTTCAGGGACTGCCCAGGTACTCGTTGCCATCCCAGATGTTCGGGGACTGCAATGTAGCATGCAAGCTCCTCACCTCGCGGGAGAGGATCGCTTTCCCACATTTTAACTGTGACAGAAAACAACAATAAATCTCCAGTTACTGAAGTATTAAATGTTTGAGAGGAAGATCAATTTCTGGAAGATTTGTGATTTCCTGACACTTTGGAAATGCTTTGAAAAAGTTGGAAATGTACAGAAAATGAGGCCTGGTTCCTCAGTACCTTGATGTAAATGTAGACGGATCCAGTTTAGTAGCTACTCTGGCTCTAGAACAATGTAATTAAAATCAGACTTTTTGAATTGTTTATTTGACATTTCATGGATTTCTATCAGTGGCACAGAGATAAGAATCTACCTTACACCTCGATTTAGCCAGGATTTGTTTTATTATATTTCAAGAATATAAACCTTACTCTCGTCTCACTTATTTCAGTATATGCTAGGACATGAAAACTCCATGACAATCAGTAAAGGACACATAGGTGCACTCAGGATCAGCCCCCATCTATTTACAAGACCAGACTACTTTTTTGTAGAGTTATCTGGTCCCATTTAGTTGTTTTTTTTTTCTTTTTTGTAAGAAAGAGCCTTGCTTTTTAGCCACTGGTTATTCTAGTTCTCTAGAATAACTGTGATGTGTCCCTCTCAAGACAGAGGAAACTTGTGTGGATTTAGATCAAACCCAGTTGCAAACTGAGGAAGAAGACTCAGTAGATTGGATAAAAATGTCCTAGCACAAGTAATCTCTTTGGTCAAAAACTCTAAACCCAGGGATTAAATGTCTGTTGCACACCAAAACCAACATTTTGTGCTTTTTTTTAATGTAAATGGGATTAAAAGCTTTCAGATTTCTTTCCTCTCGTATTTAATAAAAACACAAAATTATCAAGCCAGGTAATATAAAAAACATCTTTCAGCAGCGAGATAGTACTCTTTGCCTAGATGTGCTATGAGAATGAGCTGACTGACAGCCAGAATTTGGGAAATGCTCTGCCCTACACACACACATGGAAGCAGTCATCTGCAAAAAGCCAGAAGCATTTGGGGGAGACGCTTTTAACGTCTGTTACATCCAACGTTAACCTTTTCTAGAAACACCTGTGCTGCACACAGGTCATTATCTGTAATTGCCAGACCTGCTCGCCTTAATGATTCCCATCCTAAGGAAAAATCAATGAAGCAAAGTACCAGGCTTTGTGAAACATAGATGTCTTCCAGGATGTCTGCTCATAGAGCAAATAAATATCAGAAATTGAGAGACAGTGCTGAAAATGTTTTATATACTCACCTTGCCTTGTCTCTGGTATGTAAAGAAACTAATCCTCCCACCGAGAAATTTCTGCCTATGCCTGCTCTCATGGCAGGAGCTCACACTGCTTTCAGCATTTGCCTGCCACAGCCCAGGGAACGTGACAAAGTGCTTTTCAGAAGTTCATTTTTTCCCTATTCCCAGTTGTTATTTCCCATTGAAATAATGGCTTCTGGCGAGGTATCCTGGCACGAGCTGACATGAAAGGTGATTTGCAGTCTAATGCCAGCTTCTCAAATCACCTGAAGCCTCATTGCAAATGTCATATAAGCAGAGACAGCTAGCACAGAGGGGCAGCTGGTGCTGTTTGGACTCCAAAAAATCCTTGTCTCTGGCATGTCTTGTTAGAATCCTGTTCTGATTCATTATTTCTATTTTTTTCTAAGGAGGGGTCACACCTAACACTCTCACACTCACAAAAGGTACGTTTCCAAGCTGGTAATTAAGGTTTGAGCAATACAGTCCCTGCTCACATCAGATGCAACTTCGCAGTTAAAAATCCCCTTTGGCATTGCTTTGAAATTTTAGGGAGAAATGTCATATTTCGTCAGTATATACGCAGTGTTGACATTCAAACGTTTTCAGCCACTGCGGGATACTTTAGCAGCACAGCTCCAAACTCAGACAACGGACTGTAATTCAGATTTCATTGATTCACTATGCAGCACGCACGGCAAGGTTATGGGAAACTTTGCGATGACCATCTGCCTTCCTCTGCGAAAGGTGCACCGAATGACGGCAACATTTCAAAAGAGGCAACAGAGCAGGCACAAATAAATCACGTTCTGCCGTATCTCCCATGAAACGGAAGATAACGGCTATTTGTTACACTGATGTACAATAGGGCACCCAGCTCATATGTCAGCAAAATAGAGAGTGAGCTTTCAGATGGAATCGAGGAAATCACAGATGCTGAATTGCTTTGAGGTCGTTTTGTCCGTCCCCTGCCTTCCAAAGGCAGATTGCTTCCTATCCACCCAAGGGTTTTGTCTTTGCTGCTTTTATTGCATGCAAACACGAACCTGTCACCACGGCGTTTGGGAAAATGGGGCCCTTTTCTAATACAGCTCACAAGTTGGCTTTGCCAAATGCTCCAAGTGAGATAAAGGTCCTGTTGTGCTAGGTAGGGCTGTCACACCAGTGGTTACAATTCCTCAGCAAGGAAGACAGAAGAAAGATGGGAAAAAATATTGCCTTTCATCCCATTTTACAGATGGAGACTGAAGTGTGGGACCCAGCTGCCAACATGACTTTCAGCATTTCCTAGAGGCCTCCAAGCCAGGGACCTAACTACCTCTTGGTGTCTCATGGGCACTTCAGTGGAGTTATTCACCATCCCAAGTTCTCTGTTGTCCTCCAGGACCACCTTGGCGAAAGAAGGAGACAGGAACGGCTAAGCTCCGGGGTTAAGCCTAAGGTTTGGGAAGCAAAATGGGGCCACAGTGATTTGTATAAATGAGGCCTGAAGGCCAGGCAGGTTTTGAACAAGATCCTTCATTCTGCCTAGTTCCTCAATGAAAAAAAGCACATCCTGCTGCTAATTAGCACGTCCTTCCTGGTGTATGCCTACCTGATGCTATTTTTAATTTCATAACAATAGTTTCATGTTTCACACTACAGATCCTTTACAGAGTTTACCTGCATATGTCGCTACTTTTTGATCTTACACACAGAAAAGCAAACTCAAAAAATAGAGTAATAATAATACTTATTGGTTGCACACCATTTTACACCCATGTATCTCCAGAGGATCTACAACACAAGACGATAACTGTCTTTAGCAAGGTCACCAGCATGTCTGGAATCTGAATTTTAGATTCTCAGGCTGTGTCTATGTGTCTTTCTCTTTCTTTTTTTTTTTTTTTTTTTCTTTTAATGTCTAGTGAAAACTTCACAGTGTCTGTTCTCCCAGAGGACAAAAAGGGCCATCATCCATTCTGATGGCAGCTAATTCTCTCCAGATCTGAGCATCTTTAAAAATGGCATGAAATATAGATCACTTGCTGGGGCATGTGTTATTTGATCTTAAACAGGGACCAAGCAAAAATCTTTGCTTTGATGGATACTATTAAATTGGTTTTTGTATACTCCCTTCTGTTTTTCGAGATGTCCCAAAGCCATCAGGTAGATTTAGACTCTGAAAAGGAGGTGGACTAAGGACTCTCAAAGGAGCGAGAGATGACAGACATCAACAGCATCATCCACCTTTTCCCCCAGGATGATGGATTTTGCCACCTGCCTTTATGCAGCTCTGGCCTTGCACGTGGTTGAAAACCCAAACTCCTTGTCCGTTCAGCAGTAAAAATCACTAATGGTGAATGGATGGGTGCGGAATAAGCCCCTACCATATTTCAGGCTAGAAACTTGTCTGTAAAGGATGCTTGGACCTTTAATATCCTAAAAAGATGTGTAAATGGCATGGGGATGTTTGGCTTGCTCCAAAGCTGAGTGCAGGGCCTCTCAGATTAAACAAAACCAGCTGCTCCTACTGAGCTAAACATCTTTTGCTGGTGCTAATGCAGGCATAGATCCTCTCGGCATGCAGCCCAAAGGGATACTAGCAATACTCTCTTACTACCAAATTACCTGTAGGACCTTTTTTGTTTCCTTAATAGTTTCAGTTTGGCTGCTGCAGCCCTGCCTCCCATCCCCGGGGTTACGTGTGGTCCCTGCCCACTGCCACACCAGCCCGGGGCAGGTCGCCTTCTCCTCTCCGCTTTGAATGGCACCAGCTTCCACTGGCTTCCTTCTCATGGGAAAAACAGAGGGTTTAAAGTATTTTTGAGATAGTATGGCTCCTGCCTTCCCAGCGCCCTGCTCGGTGGAGGCTAGGGCTGGTGAGTGGTTTAAAAGTCATTTCAGATCCCTGGCAAGGAGGAGAGGAGCCCTTGAACCCTACTGCCAGATCACTCTCATTCAAGTACGTTTGCAGTACCTTTGCCAGCAAATTTATCTCTATTTTTATTTTTCTTTAACTGCTACCTCTTATCAACTGGAGTGATGGATAATTATCAAGCTACATTCTAGAAATGTTAGGATAAAGCATGCAATCCTGGTTAAACTCTATTTTATCTTAAATGCTTAAAAATGTTCAAGAGAGGGCAACCAGGAATGTCTGTCGAAACATATAGTGTGGTAAACATCCTAATGAGATCAATGCATTTGTTTCTCCCCGTGATAAGGACGTTCCTACTCTACCAAACATAGGTCATAGAAAGTATTACATTAAAATCCACGGAGGTTACGAAGAAATCAGTTGCTTTAGTTCACCTAAAGTTTTCAAGGTATAATAGAATAAAAATCCCCGTTCTTCGAGACATTATTTAAGGTTTAACATACTTGGTTGCTCCTACCTCCCTCTAGCTCACTGTAAAACTTTGGAGGGTGTTTTTTTCTCCCCAACAGAACTGATTTCTCT